TGGCGATTTACGCCATTCATGCCGTATGTGTGTGGTGCGGTGGGTGTGGAGGGGGCTGGGGTGGGGAGGGGGTCAGAATTAGTCTGTGTCCGCCGTATCTCCCCCGCGCGCCGGCCGCCGGCCTTGCCTCTCACGCTGCCGTCCGACAAATAGCACAGATTACGCTGCTGGGCTGGAGGTAGAGGTCGCCTTGCACGACCAGGATGAGGAGGAGAAGGAGGAGGCGGCGGCGACCCTGATGGAAGCTCCGTTCGACAGTCGGTGCGATAACGAGACGCGCCAGGCATGCGCTCGGCGGCCACGGGGGCAGACAGGGCAGGGCACGCACCGCGCCAGACTCAGTTGACTGGTCCGGTGACATCGTCGCGGTAAAAGGTTCGGTCCCCTCCTCTTCCTCTCCGTTCCCCTCCTCCCTGGAGGTTATGACCCTGTACATCCACCCGACGGTTGGCCACCGGCCCGGTCGGGGGGCCCCCCTGCTGGGGACGCAAGCGGTGCGCCGCCGTGCGCAGCAGGGTGCGGCAGACAAAGTTGCGCCGGAACCGAACCGAACGGAGTGATAAGGGCCGACCGTTTAAATAAACGCACCTGTCCGGGCACCAGCAGCGGGTCACCGCGGGGCCGCGCCGAGCGCCACGCCACGCGGCTTTTCGAAAAGTGGTCCAAGGTTCGCCGATCCGTAAAAGTCTTCGACGGCTTGGCGGGGCAGCGGCGGCGGCAGCGGCGCTGTGGGAGTCAAGCTCTCCACCGGTGAGAGAGAGCGGGGAAGGGGGAGGAAATGCGTTAGAAAGAGAGGAATTGTCTGGAGGGACGTGTCCAGGCGCCCGGGCGATGAGATAGTCCAGCAGGTAGGAGGAGGTGTGTCGGCGACTCCAGGAACACGCGAAGAACCGGCCGCTGCGGCAGCCTTAGAAAGGAGGGGACGGGCTATAAATTATGTACTCTGCGCCGGGGCGTCGCGGCGCTCACCAGGCGTCGCGCGGCGGGCGTCGCTACCGCGGCACACCCCGGCGCGTCTTAATCCCGGCAGCCTGCCGCCCACCTGCCGCCCAGGGGGGTAGGCAGGCCCGGTCCTCGAGCGGGCCAACGGCGTGCCTACCCGAGGCTCGTTTGGAGGGCAGAGGGCGTAACGGGGCGTACGCCACACCACGCGGCCAATTAACGTAGGGTGTGCCTGACGTGAGCCTAGCTCAGCGTGGCGGCTCAAATCGGCTCAGCCAGTGTCTCAGTCAATGGCTCAGTCTATAGCTCAGACAATTGGCAAGTAAATAGTCAGTCGCTTAGTCAATGGTTCATCCAGTGGCTCAGCCAATGGCTCAGCCAATGGCTCAGCCAATGGCTCAGCCAATGGCTCAGCCAATGGCTCAGCAGGCCCGCGCGCGCGTCAGTGTGATCCGATCGCCGTATCTCACGGTAAACATGCAATACATCATGCAGTGTCATACGTGGAGCAATGCGCGGCTCGTTACCGGGCCGTGCCCCACCACGCCCCGCCACACCCCACCC